ATACCAGCATTCTTTATAAAGAATTAATTAATTATAAAAACAATGATCCTCCCTTTAACCTTCTTTCAAATAACTTTCAAAAACCTCCTTGATTATTTTGGTCCAAATTTAGTAGTAATTCCTCTCTTCTTCGCTGGTTTGCTATGAAAATCTTCGTGATTGTTCGCTATGAAGCTGCATGTGAGTGGCTTTTTTCTTCTTTAGGTCTTACAAAAACTAAGTCACAAAATAGCCTTTCCTCTGACACACTTTCAAAGCTTGGCCAGATTAAAAACAAACTACAAAAAGCTGTTCAAACTAAAAAAAATAAAACTTGTCAGATTTTAATCATGTCAAAGAAAATATAGATATACTTTTTGAAGGACAAGATGAAATAAAACAAGACAAAAAAGAATATGATAAAATTAATGAGGATATTGGTGTGGTTAATATTGAATATAAGGAGACTTCTGTTATAGATGAGTTTTTTAACTTCAATATATTCGAAAAAGATCAAGAAGCTGTTCTACTCAAAGATATTCATGACAATTTTGTATCACAAACCAATATTGAAGAGGAATAGTCCATTGAAGATATTATTTCACAAAGCAAATAGATCTTATCAATTAATAACTAATCATAATATAAAAAAATCAATATGATCTATGTAAAAAATACCTTTACATTGCATATTTATATAACATTTGTCATTAAATTATAGGCTCCTAAAATATATATACAGTATATACATATATAAAGTATTAAATAAAGATTTGAACAGTATACAGTTAGCAATACTTATATACTTTCTAGTATTATTGATCTGTATTTCGAATTAAAATAATTTTAGATCTTAGAGTATTTAAAAGATGACAAATACTAACCTTAAAAAGCCATTACCAGCAGTATTTTAACCTTTTTCACTTGGAACTTTAAAAAAAGATAAATAAAGTAACATTTTGCTAACACTATTTTATTCTTTTGCAAGATAAATTTAAGTCTAATTTGTATTTAGATATTCAACAAATATCTTATAAGCACAAATCATGTGAAATAATTGATCGTGATTAGTCATTTACAAAATATTGACTTTATAAATTTGACTGATTTTTATTGGTTAATTGTTTATTATATGATTAAGTATAGGCATGCCCTTAGGGCATGCCTCATGCTAGAGTATGCCCATCAAGACATGCCTATTTTTTTATCTGTGCCTCTAGCCCTAAGTTTATTTACTTCTATTTGCTGTCTTTTCTTACTACACTCTGCTTGCATGTTTTTATTTTTTATAATAATTTCAATACTTTGCATTTTGTTTTCTACTTTAGTTACTTTTTCTGATTTTATGTTTAAAAGATAATCTACTAATTTTGGGTTTAAACTCATAATTATAATTCTTTTAGTATAGTTTTCAATGATTTTACTTTGTAACTATATGCTTTCTGCTTCTCTTAATGTTACTATTATTTGACTATACAGAAGCAAGTTGTATACTGTGATTTTATTTACATATTCAATTATTAGACTATTTGCTATTAGCTTTATCTTATTTGGGCTTAATGGTTTTGACTTATCTAAAACTTTAACTAATTTTTTGTTATTTATATATTTAACTACTTATATTTTATAGTTGCTAACATATTTAAGCAAACTTTATGTTTATATACTTGCTACATTATCAGATCTTCTTCTAGATTTTTCTATATTTATTATATTTGTTTATTTACCTTTGTTTGTTGTATGCTTTATTTATTACTAAATTTGTATATGTCTGTGTTTGTTTATTTTTGCTTTTAGTTATGTGTTTCTGCTTATTATTTTTAGAGTTAACAACAATCCCAAAAAGTTTTTACAATTTTTAAAAATTTTCTTGTTTTTTTGTAAAGTTTTTTGTTCTAATGTCTTTTAATTCTTTTTAGCTACTGTGCCTTTATACTATTTCTATATATTTTATCTTTCTGCTTCTTTTTTCTTATAACACTTTTGTGTATTTTTTATATTGTTTTTTGTGTTGTTGTCGATTTTGTATTTTTCTAAATTTATAAAAAAAGATTAGGAAAAAGATTTTTTTTTTCTGTTTTCTATTAATATAAAGAAAAATTTATTTTGTATTTGTTTTTTTTTATTTGCTATTCTAACTAAGTCTATTTTCTTTCTGTTAAAGTTTTTCTTTAGTAATCCAATTAGTGTTTTCTATTTTTATTTTTGTGTTTTCTTTATAACTTTTGTTTTTGTTATTTTAGAAATATATATTAGTAAAAAGAGTAAATATTTTTTTTTTTCTTATAATATAAAATTAAATATTATTAAATAAAATTTTATTTAAATATTTAAAATTTTTAAAAAAATAGATAAATATATTTTTAATAATTTTCTAGACAAATTTATTTAAAAAAATCTACAAATTAAATAATAAGAATTAAAATTTTACAAAAACTATAGTTAGTTTATCTGTTATTTTTACTTTTTTTCAAAAAGGTTTTATAAAAAATAAGTAATTTAGTTTATTCTTTCTAAAAATTAATATATAAAACTATCAAAACAGTTAGTAGTATTTACTTTTCAAATAGAATTATTAACAATATAGATTAAAAATATTATAATAATATAAACACAACTTATACATATACTTTAAGTTGCTAAAAATTGATTAAATATTGCTTTAAACTAATATCTTATACTAATTCTTTATAATTAAGTTAAATTTTTTTCTTTTATATAGTTTTTTGTTAAATAATTTAAGTAAATAAAAAAACAATAAAATTATTTCTGTTTAGTATAGTTTATAATTTTTAAAAACTTAATACAGACTTATAATTATAATTATCTAATAGTTGTAAAATATAAGTTTTTTTATTATTTTTTTTTTTTTATTTTTTTTTATTTCTTGTATTATATCTTTTATTATCTACTTTTATATATTGTAATGATACTAGGTGGAACTATCTTAGAATTTTCTATTCATAGGGTAGCTGATAGTTTATTCATATAACATAGGGTGTCACAACACTTGAAAGAGGCATTGGATTTGGTGAGTGTAAGGTGGGTATTTTTTATTACTATATTCTATATCCTATTCTGTTCTATTTTATGTTCTATCTAAATGCATTACTCATATACTTTTTTCCTATCTGCTAAATACACTATTTATGCTATATACACTATATATACTATATACACTATATACACTATATATGCTATATTTTCTATATATGTTACATCTACTTTATACACTATACATGCTATATACACTATGTCTACTAATTACGTTATATATCCTATATCTACTAATTACACTATACATATACTATATCTATTAATTAATATATACTATTGTTTAATTATGCAATCATCTTTAATAAATTATTGACAATCCTATTCTGGATCATAACAATATTTGTATTTTTTTTAAAAAAAGTTTTTTTTTAGTTTTTTTACTTTCTTACAAGAAAATATTATTAGATTGATCTATTGTAAAGCAGTAATTAGAAGTGTTTTAAATCTTTTCTTTTTTTAAAAAATTAAACAACTGATACAGACAAATTACTTATAAGTGCTTATAAAAGTAACTGTAAAATGTTGGTTCAATATATTAAGTTTTAAAAGTATTTGTATAAAAACATAATATTTGAATAAAGAATAATACCAAAATAAAAATATATATATAACTTTTACTTAATTAGACAGTTTTTTTTAATATTTTATTCGATTTGATATTTTTTCTTTTTAATTTTATTTTAATTTTAATTTTATTTTTTTATATTCAATTTAAAATTTTTTTTTCTTTTTATAAAAAAATATCATGATATTTTATTGTAATACAAGATTATATATAACATAATTCTAGTTTTGCTTAAACTAATATAATAGATCACATTTAAATATCGCAAATGATAACAGACTTAGATATTAAGTTAGATAATAAAGTATATACTGTTATAACTGCTTTAAAAAAATTTTTTTTTTTTAATATTAATCAATATTTATATAAATAAAATTTGCTGACTTAAATAGTTTATAAAAGGTCTTTAATAATAATTTAGATAAAAAATATTTAACATTTTATGTTCAATCAAACTAAAACATTTTGATATTATAAGTCTTATTGGGCCTGTTATAAAACTGATATTTTAACAAACCCAACTTAAACCCGGCCCAAAATAAAACCGGGATCAAAAATGTGAGCCCAAAATAGGCTCAAGCCCGGCCGGACCATTTTGAACACTACTAAAAACTTTACAGCTGTTCTCATAAATTTTTGAACATCTGGAGAAAAATTGACTGAATGATTGGCCGTTTCTATAAGTTTTGTGATTTCGGTAATAAGCGATTATGTAATACGTAATGTGTATATCTTTGCTAAATGGCACTGTGATTTCGATAAGATTGACATAATGGCTATATAATGTATGCACATATAACTATTTGTATCTTTGCTAAATGACATTTTCAAAGCATATTCGTTGGACAATCGTTGAAAAACATTTGGAAGGCTTAACAGTTCGGGCAATTGCCAGATATCTAGGTGTTAGCAGATCTTCCGTAAGTCAAATTCTCAAATATTTTTGAAAAGCTTCCAGCACTTTTAGGAAGACCACGGTTATTAAATCACTGCCGAATCACGAACAGCTGTAATGATCCGAAACATTCCGAACAGAAAAGTAAGGCTATCCGAAGAGTCCGAACTTGAAACGGATCCGGATCCGGATCCGATTCGGTTTTTCGGATCGAATCCGATCCGGTCCGTGCGGAACACCAATGGAACTGCGAATGGAGCCAATGGAGCCAATGGAGCCAATGGATAATAGTTTTTTTGCCTGTAACCTGAAAAACGCGAATTTTCATCCTTTTCGTGTCCACACTGGTAATAAAAATCTACTCAGACTTCAGCTGTCCTGTTATCCCTTATACCGTTAATTTAACTACATATTTACTACGATTTAGACAGACTACAATCCAATATAATTTGATAGCGTAAGGGATAATTATATATCATTGTATCAAGTGGTTAACATTTTATAATGCCGTTTACGAGAAACGTTGCAACGCAAACGATTCCCGTTCATACTGTCGAGCGCTCATCGACAATGTGTCTAACACCGAATTGCCTTACGGCCGCCAATATTCATACGGAGCAGTTTCATTTCAGCATGCTGAAGGTTACTTGTATACAGCAAATTGAGTACACCGTTCAGTTACTTCCAACTATAGATAAACTCAGTGAAGAGGATCTAATGAAAATGGACGTGGTCCTTCCCGAAGGAAAACTTAGTATCAATATATCCTTTTTATATTTATTTTTTCTGGGTGTTTTCTTTTGTAACTGTTTTTCTTTGACTTAGTTGCCTCAAAAAACACTTTGTAAATAGAATAGACGGCAGGTTGTTCAACTTAAACACAAAGAATGAAAATATAATATTGAGGCGTCTTTGTCGACCAGAGGTACTTTAAAGCATCGTCAACATAGTTAAAAAGCTTTATTAAAATTTTTTTATTTAATAATAGATTTGGAAACAATTTGGTTTCTCTCATATAAAACCAGAAACAACTTCAAAACATAGACAATTTAATAAACGTAAGTTTAAATATTTTTATGAATAATATTTATAAATGCATTTTTATAGTATAACAATTAGGTCTGAATTTCTTAGAATATTGTCTTTACGCCTCTGGTTATCAGTGTTCGCCACCATTAATAACAATCGATCATGTTAACCAACCATTTGGATCGTTGTCACAACTCACGTTCATGCTAAATTGGATTACCGTTAACGATGATATCCTTTTTTAAATGTCTATTTAATAAATGTACTTGCTTCAATATGTTAATTCCTTGACAAACAGGACGTCACACACGTAACATTGTTGCGTCAGAGGCTTACAAATAAACAATGGAGCACATTATCTTTGGAAATAGCGGCAATTGATCTAGCGTTTCGCAGTTTAATGAAAAATCTCTTACTTCAACGGTACCCACTCGTGTTTTCCTCCGGATATCATGATGTTAGTGAAGTTAATACATTTGAGTAATTTGTTTCCACATGTTTTAACTAGTATAAATTCTTATTGCATAATTGGTTAACTATTTATAGAAACTGCAATATATAACACGGTGTATTCCACTTATTTCAAAATCTTTAATGCGTATTATTCAAAACAGCCAAAACGAGAATTTCCGATCAAAAGCGACTGAATTTGCCCAAGTATAATAAATTTAATATAATTTTTTTAGAAGATAATAAAAAATGGTTTTTATAACTCTTATACTCACCTTATTTTATTGATATATCTCAGCGAACACGCGCTCATACTAATTTATCATTCATACCAAACGGTCGTATAAAATATGACGTAGATTCAACACCAGAACAAATGAGGAAAATTTTTTCAAATGGTTTATATTCGATTGCAAGAGACATCAAAGTACATATACCAGCTTTTCAAGAGGTGAGAAATAAATATAGAATATATTTCAAAGGAAATTGAAACTTATTGTATTTAAATGTTTTTATATTAGTATTCATCAAGCGACGAAGAAACATTGAATACTAAAGTCGTGAAAAAATCAAAAATAATATCTAAATTAAATCGCAATAAATCAAATTCAGACAATGTGTTTGAAGACCTTTTCGACAGTTATGGGATCAACAACTATGGGGAAGCTAAAGATATACAACCTGTATATTTAGAATGTGATACTGACAATAATGATGATATTGACTTATTTGCCAGTGATATTACTTCGGATGTTGATGATTATACAGGATCTTTATTTGACGCTGATGATGAAGATAATCGAGATTTTGGTGAGACTGTATTCGAGGAACCCTCTGGCTCTGATACTGATAACTTTTTGCAGGAGGATCTGCATTATCTCGACAACGAAAACCGTTCAAATTTCAGTGTATTTGATCAATGTAATAATGCTGATTTTTCAGATTCTAAGATTACTGATGTTAAGGACGCTCGTGTAGTTCCTGACGATGATGTGGAACTATTAAACTTTGATGAATTTGAGGATAAACATTTTTTTGTGAATACAAGGGACACTTTGGAGTTATCGCATACTTCTGATTTTTGCGTTACGAACAATAAAATTGTATCGACTTCGCAAATACAGTGTGCAAATCTTCATTGTTTTTCGGACGAACAGCATAATAATTCCGAAGATGTATTTTTTGACATCATGTTTGAAGAGTGACACGATAATATTGTGCTTTAATGAGAAATTTACATTTAACTTGATCTGTATATTTATCACCAGTGTTGGTTTGATCAGACCAATTTGACCATTTGACCAGACCAATTTGATCGATTTGACTGGTCTGGTCCAAGGACTGTATTGGTCAAATTGGTCAAATGATAAATTTTAATATAGTTTATTATATAATACATATATATTATATTATATAATATACTTGACCAGTTTGACCAGCAAATTTTTGGTCGACCACTAATTTTAACAACACTGATTTATCACAGTTCAATGTTATATAACAAGTCATCCGTATATCCAATTGTTTCTTAATGCCTAGTATTCATATGAGTGCCGCAAATGCGAAAAACCGGAATCCTTCATTTTCGGAAAATTCGTTTTTACGGGATATCGACTTATCTATGATAATATGTATCGTTCTCCTGCTTTTACATTTTTTATATTATCAAATTAGAATTATATGCAGAGTGTAAACATTACTTATCATCACTCTGACGCATGGACCGATAAGCCGTACTCCGTAAAGTATTAAATTCGAAATCCAAGAATTCCAGTTTTTAGTTTTGCGGCACTCATATAATTGATCAACTCCTTAAGGATAATTAGAAAGTACTATGGCATAGGGCTTGGAATGCACGACCTTAAAAATTGCACTTGGACTTGTAATACCCAGAATTTAGCCACAGATAATGGGCAAAGATCATGAATCCCAGTTATATGTGAAGTGTGATCTACTTACATATTTATTCCTATGTTTAGGGATTGTTAAAATATTGTGGCTGTCATGTTGCGGCTTTGTATGGCTTGTTAAAAGAAAGATTTCAGAAATCCTCGTCCGAAAGTTGAAGTTATACCGTGATAAAAGAATTACATATAATCACACCGTTAATGTTAACAAACTTTTAAACTTTCTTTTGTTTTTTTAATAACCAGATGTAACCTTTGAATTTTATAAAATTTATATACAAAAAACAAATTGGATTGCTGGGTCCGCTCTGAAAATTTAAATATTATGAACATGTATGGCCAAGTATATAAATTCAGATTCAGCCCTCTCTCGATACATGATACAAATAAATAACAATTTAAAAATTTAATAAATGAATGGAATTATTTTTTTTACTCGAGTAGAATATTCTAAATAATCGACTCCAAAAGTTCTCAGTAACATGAATTCTTCACAACGAATACGATACCAATAAGCGATGTTAATGATAATAGAAATTATTATAAAGACGAACCAATTTCCAGAAGACAGAGCAAAGCCATGCCACATTAGCAGTTGACCTGCGTAACCTGGATGACGTATATATCTATAAGGGCCTGTATATTAATTCAAGAATTTATTAATATTAATTTTAACATTAAATCATCATAATGACTATTCAACAAACCTTCAGTTACGATGAATTGTCCTTCGCCGATTCTTAAAGTTCGCGTAAAAAACTGATTAATTCTCATCGCATATGCTCTTAAACCAAATCCAAACAAAATAAGTATAATTCCACTCCATGATAATATTTCGCGATAAGGTGATTCAATTACACCAATCCCAAGATTATCATTCAAACCAATAACAACCCATAGTATAAGGACGGGAACACCGAGTACAATGATGAAAGCGATACAAACGAACAGTGTAGAGCTTTTGTCAGTATCATTATCTAAATCGAAACTTCTAGTATCCGCGTTTGGGCGTAAAAAAGTATCAATAAAGAGGTTAAATAGAACAATAATGTAAGCTATAATAAGTGGAATGTCGTATGATGTTATGGATATCATAATTATTCACAGAATTATCCTCTTGGGAACATAGTATAGATATACATCAGAAAGAGATCACACGTCTTTATATGCTCTAAATTGTTCAAGAGTATGGTTTTTGATTTACACGGAACAGTTGGAAACAAATTGAGGTTTTTAAAAAGGGATGAAATAATTTTATATACATTCATTTTCTTTATAAGAACGCCATTTTTTTTTGATGATTACATAATCAATTTGGCTAATTTATTTATATATACGTAGTTTATTATTTATTAATTAATTATACAATAGTGCCGCCAAATTAAAGTCATAAGTTTAGTTCCAGGTTTAATTTGGTAGCATTTATATATACCGTTGTTAGCGGTGCAAATACCGTGAGCCAAACGGCTAAGACATGACGTTTAACGGCTCGACTACAAGTCTACTTAAGGTATTGGTTCTAGAAATAACTCAGCTCAAGACCATAAAGCCAGAGTTGATAATCGCCTTACATTAAAAGTTCCAAACACTATTCCTATAAACTAAGGATTGGAACCATTTAATCGTTTAAAATTGTTCAGTCTTGAGATAAATTATGTTGATCATGTCAGAATCATTTTAATTCCTAGATTCAATCGGCTCATTACATGGTGAGATTAAAAAATTGTTATTGTGAAAAATAGGTTGTGTGGAGATTTTTTGAGTATTGTACCCGGGTATTTTAAATGGTGTCAACTATTCTAGAAATGTAAAGTACTCCATTATTCAAATTTACGATTTCCGTTGTTATTAATTGAATAAAACCTTCAAATTTACTATTACGATAGTACTTTCTGAAATATATGGGTGCAGCCAAATTAAAATATCTAAATAAAATTTAACCCCCAAAATAATCCTAATAATAATATATCGTTACTTACTGATTTTAAAATAGGGTACTTTAAAGAGCATTTTATGGTACACAAAATTTCTGGGTGATGTAACTCGCTTTTTTGCCGACAATTTCTTTTTTAATGAGGGATTTAGATATAACGACCAAAATTTTCCGACTAATGAAAAGTCCAGGTAGAAATTGTCTTACGTAAACAGAAATCTCTTTGATTGATGACGCCTCAATTTTTAATTAATAACGATAATCTTGTACATTTTGTGCAACATATAATTTTTTATTGCCATTTTTCATTTTTACCACGTTTAATATTAGGGTAAGGTTAGTTTAGACTTAGCAAAGCATAATTTATACTAACATTTTGCTCATCTTTGTTGGAGCCTCAAAAATAGGTTTATTAATGAAATTTTGAGAAATAACAATACTCGTGTACATACACATAGTGTGTGTATAGAAATTCTCTTTCTGAAATTATTTTACGGTATGATTAAAGCTTCTAATAGTTTAATAATTAAAGTGAACTTTGCATTAAGTAGTGGTAATTTACAGAATCGTCCCTAATAAAAAGTTGGAACATTCGATCCAAACGATAAGATGGAAAATATATGCCTAAGGCCATGCAAAATTAATTAGTTGGTTTTCGTAAACCGGCCGGATCAAATTTTGAAGACTTGTAAAAATTTTTTTGTGCTTTAATAACCGAGTGGGTTTTTAAAAAAAATTTTATAAAATTTTATAAAAAAATAAAGCCGGCCGGCCAGGTCTGTTCAAAAATTTCATGTTATGAAAACCAAGATATTAAATTTGTGTGGCCTAAGATAATTTTATTTTTTGTTCTGGTTAAAAAATTCTATTGCAAACCAATAAAAATTGTGTATCAATTTTTAATAGAAATAAATAATATAAATAATATCATATTTACAAAATCAAATAAACCAAGATAAGGAACTAAAATAAAGAAAAAAATTAAAAATAAGCAAACTTACATTATTAATTCCTGACTGTAAGTAACACTTGCCAAACAACCAATATTATCCATGTTAATATAACCACAAAAATTACAACCTATAAATCAAGTACGTAACTTATAATGGATTTATAGAAAGAGAAATTTTATAATTTTTAATAATTTTTATACTTTGCTCATTAAACATCCATCTAAGTACCATGGAATAACCCTTCGTTCAGAATGATTTATAGATGACGACGCTACTGTAAGAGAGACATCATCTGAATTAGAAATTTCACTGTTTCGAGGAATGAGTTGGTACTCCATTTATAAAGTACACCCAAAATTTTTGTTACTTTATATATTCATCTGCATGATTATTAATTTGTGTTACGGTTACTTTAGCATTATCGTTATTGATAAAAAAAATTTTTAATCAATCTTAATCGTAATTATGAAAATTTTAACACTTTGCTCTTGAAATAATCACCATTTAGACTCACCCCTTCTCGTGAGTATTTTTTTGAATTCGTATTTGTTTTTTATTTATTTGGTTGTACTTTGATACCAAAATCACTACTATTTAAATAGTACGATGTCTGCCCCTATTCCTGCATGCTATTCAGATATTGGTAAATCTGCCAGTGATCTATTAGGCAAAGACTATCCAGTCGGTGTCTTCAAACTTGAGACCAAAAACGCAGCTCCTAACGGTGTGGTAAGTTCAATAAAATAATAAATCATTTCTGGCTTATTATAGTTTTCATAACTTTTTATTCTTGATTTTTTATTTAGTCTTTTACCCTCTCCGGACAAAAAAACTCAAAAAGTGGTGACATAAATGGTGAATTTAAAAGCAAGTATCACTACCCTAAGAAAGGTATTACACTTACAGAAACTTGGACAACAAACAACCATTTAAGTGCCCAAGTAGAACTAGAAAATAGCCTCGCAAAAGGCTTAAAATTGGACATGACCGCATATATCCAACCACAACATGGAAATAAGAACGTCAAGGGAGGCTTAATTTTTAAACAACCGGGTTTTCACACAAAGCTCTATGTTGATGTTCTTAAGGGACCTAATTTTCAAGGTGATGTTGTAATTGGTCACGAAGGATTCCTTATGGGTGGTGAAGCATGTTATGATCTTACGGATGGCAAAGTTACTCGCTACGGTGTTTCTGCGGGTTATACAGCTCCTGAATACAATGTCACTCTTAAAGCAACCAATTCTATGTCTGCTTATACCCTTCTATACTATCATCGTGTACATCCTGATATTGAAGCTGGTGCAAAAGCTCAATGGGATACCGCTTCAAGCAGTGATAGTGTTAACATGGAAATTGGTGCTAAATATTTTTTAGATCGCGATGCATTTGTAAAAGTACGTGATTAGTTCATTATTTATTATTAGTGCTTCTTGTATAGAGAAACTCATTCTGAATTATTAATCAAATTTGTAGGCTAAAATTGATAATAATGGTCGTTTGGGTCTTGGATACACACAAGCACTTCGTCCGGGCGTTAAGATCTCTCTTGGTGGTAGCATTGATACATCCAAGATGGGTGAAAATAATCATCGATTTGGAGTCTCTCTTAATTTAGAATCCTAATACTCGATTCAAGATTGATTTATAGATACGGTTTTGGATAGTAAATACTTGTAGTTTTTTTTATACTTGCATCAGCATTAAATAATGCGCTCAACTATATATTCTTAATGGAATTAATAAAAGTGTCCCACATATACAAATGCATATATATACCTATCTAAACATTTCGAAATTTGAGATTTTAGAAATCATAGAAATAAATATTAAGTCATTAAGCCATAATTAAATGGTAAACTAAAATCACTAAATATTGCTTGGAGGATCTACGTATGTACTTTGATTGTTATACGTATATGTTTATTAAATTCTGACCGAACGTTACATTGAGACATACAATAGCCGATAAAATTCAGACTCTGGACTTCGACGTTTCCCTTAGCCTGATAACATGTATGATCTACAATATCATAATTTAAAAAACATTTACCTGAATTACTTATTTGTAATTGGAAGATTATTTTTAATATACGAACATAAACAATTTAAATTTATTGGAAAATGTATTATATAATTATATGAAAACTATGACATTCATACCTATTGTCACTTATTTTCTTTCAAAAGTATTCTGTTGTAAGATTATTGTGGCGGCACGTTCGTTCAGTTAGATTTAATGTCCCCTACGTTTTCTTTTTCTGTTGTAAGAAGCTACCGAAGAATCTGAACTATCACTTCGTGATGAAGAATTTGATGATTCGGAAGAACTCGAATTTGATCCACTATCATTGTCCGAGTTTGAATTAAGACTTGATGATCCAGTCGAAGAACTATCTCCGCTTTCGCTGGAGGAATCGGATGACGAAGAAGACGACGAAGATGACGAAGAGCTTGATATTTAGTATAAATAAAATAACATGATGCGATTAGATAAGAAATTTTAATATTAAATCATAATATATGCACTCACAAATCCTATCAATTTAGAGGTGAAAGCAAATTACAAATCGATACGCGACCGGACGTAATTTAATCCCTGTTATTATTCAGTTATTTGACAGGATTAGTGAATGTACCGATAATATGAGATTGATTCATCTTACTCTGTTTTTCGACGTTTTTTTCTTTTACTTTCTTTTATATCATCTGGTTTCTCCAATTTTTCCGGCACATCCTTTCTGTTAAAACGTTGTGCGTATTAAAAATATATATCGCTGGTTTTTGTCAAAATTGAGCACTTACTTTATCCCCAATTCGTCCGGAAGCTCAACAGATATCGGTTTTAGTGGTTTTGTAAGTTGTTGAGTTCTGGTCGGACGAGCTTTGTACACTCGTTCATTCTTGCACTCATAGGTCTACACAAAAGGAAGTGAAACCTTGTAAACGTTGTGAACGAGATTAATACATATTTCATTTTACGCAGCACTTGACTTTTACCCAATGACCGTATTCAAGGCATTTTTGACACTGGGTTTTAGGTGAAACTTTGGTGCCCGAAGTCGGGTACCTAATTATAAAAAGAAACGTTCTATTAACCATTCGCTTTACAATTTATTATTCGATCTTAAATACAAACTCACTTGCGTCCAGGGAAGCTTGCTTTATTCATGTGGTTTTTCTTTCTAGTCTCTTTGAATTATCTTTTACCTTATCGTTATATCGGATCATGGGTTTACGGACTATAATCAGAGCAGTCGTAGCATGACTAAATCCATTTGATTGGTTGAAAGTCAAGTCATTGTTAATTGGTCAAAATTAAAAATTAAACTAAGTTCGTGAAATTAGCGATAATTACTTTCTGTCATTTTTAATTAGTGTTTCGAGACGGGTTTAACACCCGTTTTCTTGCATTTTCGCATTTTCGTTTTTTTTTCGCTTTGCTCACGTGTCAGGCCGAGATGAATAATATTGATTTGTATCGATCATATATAAATGGGAAATCGATATTTTGACCGGCCACCCAAAAAGTTTTGAACATCACGTGACAAATATATCGAGCACAAAAAAAAAAAAAAAAAAAAATATTGTATAAGATCCGGGTATTGACAATTATTGAAGCATAATACAACCATCTCCAGTACCACCAGCTTCTGTACCCACTCTTAGTTAAGTACCCATGGATATAATACACTTTTTTTTCTATAAGACCCGGGTACTAAAGGCAGTGCGGTACAGTATTATGATTACAAGTATTTGGAATATTCCATTGCCTTTTAAAATAATTATAATCCTCTAATTTATGCAACGATCCAAAATTTTTATTAACATTATTAAGCCATTTGTTACTGTTTGGATTCTTTAATAATTTTTTTGTTGCTGCATCCTGGATTCAGAATTATAAAAACCTTTTTACTCAAATAAATAATCAGTTATAATCTTCCAGAAGAGCATTAAAAATAAAATCTACAAGGTTTTCGATTTTCATTCTTTTTTCGTTTATTATTAGTGGAAATTTGGTTACGGCAATGAATGTGTTTTTAGAATGGTGTGTTTATTGGATTTTATGCTTTTAACAGTCGTTTTTCACTTTGAAGAATCGAAGAAAAAAATATATATTAAATCAATTATGTTAATATTTTAATAAATATTATTATAATCACGATGAATTGACAATACCACATGATTTTCTAGGTGGCGATTTTACCCGAATCAAAGAACTCTGAACTTTATTTTCAAAAAAAAACTTAATCATGAAGTTTCCTAATAGTTGTTGCACCTCGGAATAGAATTTAGAAAGCATTTAAGTTTATTCCAAATAAACATATTTGGCCAAACGATCTTCAAATTTGACCAGAGTTATAAGTAATCAGTTCTGTTATTTTAGATTACATATATTTGTGATAGTTGGTAGCTCTCCCACAAAAAATCCTCCCCCTTCGTGATTTTTATCCAATGAAATCGAAAGATCAGGTGTAAACGATCTTTAGGGTTAGGATTAAAGGGGAAAATTTTTGCTTAATGTTTTGTCGAAGGTCTACAGCGTTTATAAGACTTTCGTATGATTGGCTGTTTAAATCAATTTAATTTATACAGTTTAAAGCACTTTTTTAAAAAAATAAAAAAATATGTTGCACTTTATATTAAACTGTTATGTCAAGACTTTCTGTATTAATGTTTTAAGCCGGCTAAATTAGCCGTTTAACCGCTTAGACAGCTGATAGTTTCATCATCCGGTTAGCAATAATTCATAGTTGGCATTAGACATATGTCCAATGACAACTACAATTGCCACAGCTGAAGCTGGAAACGGGTGAAATATTTTAATATGAAAAGTTTCTTTTTTTAAAAAAAATATAGTTAGATTAGAATTTAGGATTTAAATTTATAATAAAGGGGTATAACGATAAGTAGATTTTAGTAGAGTTCATTTTTTTATTGCGGTTTGCAAAATTATGTGAAATTTGATCATTAAAAAAAGTAATAACTAATTTCCGATTACCGATTTCAACATTTTTTTGACTTTTAGACTAGAAAAAATTAGCGTATATTTCATTTGTAAAAATTTGATAGAACACGATTTATTTTTTTTTACATAACAATAATTAATATTCGAATTTTGTTTTAAATCGATGAAAACCCCCACTTTTTTTTTACCATCCCTAGATTATACATAACAAGCCCAAGATTTATTTCGCATAGACTATTTGTTAAAATGCTTTATAACTTCGTATTCAGTAAAATCTTTATTTTGGGAGTGATATGATAATCGATAGATAACGTTAAATTTATTAGTCGCGGTTCAAAGTTCGCATACACGTCTTTATATGATTTATTGAAATTGTCAAAAGAATCGTAGATATTTATTTAGGCTAGTGTTATGTGCCAAATTACACCAGGTTTCACTACAGCAAACTATTTCGCCCGAGCTACGGGTAATGAAAAGAAAATCCAGTTTCAGATTTTTGACTAAATATTAATTATATGACCAAGTTACATGAAATTTTGATTTCAGAAACTTGCAGTTATGTAAACTTTACAGCCTTTAAAAAATAATAGCAAAGTTTCTTGAATATGGGTGCCGCCGAGTGAAAACCAGGAATTCTAAAAATAGACTTCTTCACATAACGAATAATAAATTATACATAGTGTTTTTTAAAGTCTAATCCGTTGTCTAAAGAAATCTATTTTTAGAATTCCTGGTTTTCACTTGGCGGCACCCATATATATATATATATTCTTTTTTGGTTTTACTAAGTGCAATTACTGGCTGGCCTCTTTAAAAGTAATATCCAGTTCATATAAATTCAAAATTGATTAAATTATTGCATACCTATGCATTGTACGATATGCTACAAATTGATACCAATGAATAATTGTAAAGATGCAGTGCATCTTGAACGAGTTATAAACGAGATATTTATTACTGGTTCGATAGTTGTATTAGTTCCGGTACATCTGCAAAAAATTACGGAAATTAAGAAACAATGCTCTCTAAATGATGATTGAACACTCCAAATTGGAGATTCTTTATTTTATTACTATTTACATTTTACATTTTATCTGATCTATTTGCGCATATATGCATTGTGTCAGGTTAAAAGATATTAACTGCGTAATTTAATTAAAGTATCTGAAATAGGACTCGCTCGTGTAAAATTCAACTGCTTCTTTCCATATGTTCTTACAGTGATACGGTCTTTATTTAGTGTGACTCATTCGTTCTTCATTCTGTTCTTGAATATTTTATAAATACACGATATGTAGTTTTAATTAATCTTAAAATTTATACGTATTCTTGGCTTTTCTCCTTCATCCTACCCTTTCAGCCGAATCTTCTTCATCCTATCCTTTCAGCCGAATCTTCACCATCCATCCTTCCGGCCGAATCTTTCCTATCCACCCTTTTTCTTGCACTTTCGTTAATTTAAAATGAAATTGTGTACAGTTTTATTGTGTATTTGTTTCTTTATTTCTACCACTTATGCTGGTTGCAGCATTAAAGCTCCGTTCGATCAAACTAAATGGGTTGGTGGTCAAACAGAAAATATTACATGGGAAGAGGATAACAAAGCTCCATTATTGAAAGATATGGGCATGATGGGGATTGACTTGATGTATAATACCAGTAAGTAATTAGTTATATTGTCATTTGCATGATATATATGTAATTTTTAACCAATTTTTTATATGCGCATCTAGGCAATTTCTGTAAAGTAATAACACTTGCCACTAGCATTGATCCTAAGAGCCTCCTATTTGCTTGTCCTCTTCCCACGACCATTGGACTTGGAAGTGATCCAACTCAATAGTATGTTTTTATCATTATCATTCGAAAAAGATCCACAATCACAAATCTGACTTCTATTATTAATTAATAACTTGTAGCTTCATCAGGATGTATACCAATAGTACTGGTACCAATAGTACCAATAGTACTAGCACCAATAATACATATACAGCATATTCTCATACGTTTACTATCAACAACATTACTGGTACTCTACAATGCATACCAAACAATCCATCATCTACTACCGCCAATACTGCCAACACTACCACCACTATTCCTAGCGACTCTACTAAGGTTGGCAATAACGTAATTGCTGGTTCTTCGGCTCCCGCTGCTCCCGTAGACTCAAATAAACCTGCTGCTGCAAGTGGTAGTTCTACTGCCAAGAGTGCTGCTACTGCTGGCGCATCCAATTCAAAGACTTCAAACGCCAATAGTTTAGTGGTTTATCCATCGTTTGTTGGATTATCGTTAGCTATCATTAGTTTTGCCTTATCACATCTTTAAAAGATAAAAATATTAGAATGGTCTTTTTGGTTTACCTTTTAAATCCTTTGTAACATTAATATTTAGACCTTTTAACGCAAAATTTTTGTTATCGTATCTGTTGTAATTCTACTTTAACAAGATTATTTTAACAAAATTATTTTAGATTCATAAAAAATGTAAAATTTATTTATCTTTTAACAAAGGATAATAAAATATCATTTACTAGACATTGAATTATTCTACAACTACAATCTTTGTTTTTTTTTCTAAATGTTAATATCCTATAATGCATGGCACCTTAAATCAACTTTTTTAAAAGTTGTCATATTTAATGCAAAAATACTAACCTTTATTATATTTTGAAATTTTTATTTTGTTGATGATTTTAAAAATAAATAACTTTATAAAAATTTATATAATTAAAAAAAAAATTTTATAACTTTGTTATATTGTATTTTTGTATATTTTTACGAAAAAAAATTTCTCGTAGCTTATATTTTTATTCTTTTATAAGATTTTAAAAATGAATTATTGTTCAGAGCGTAGTGAAGGACCTTTAATTTTTCTAACCACCACTGCATTAGTTACGTTTTTTGATGCACTTTCTAATTAAATATCAATAAAGCACTTTTGAATTTTCTATCTGCCCATTCGCGTGATTTGTTGATATTTTTATAGTTTAATTTATTTAGAAATATAGGATATAATTATAGCCTATTATATAGGTCGTCTCATCACTTCTTATACATCATATTTTATAAAATAAATGAAAAGCTTATTAATAATATTAAATCTAATAAATGTTATTTTAAACTATACTTTTAGGATTATATATACTATCATATTAAGTTTTAAAAATAAAATTATTATATATTGATTAAATATTTTTTCTTATCAATTTACAAATTTATAAAATATATATATATTGTTAAAGTTGATGTTTACAATGGTTATCACCTTTATTTTGATTTTAATTATATATTATATATAACTTGTACAAGAATGAGCATATAACTAGTAACATATGTAGAGCTTCTAGGTTCAGTTTGGATTGTTAGAGTTTAGCCAAACTTTTAAACTCAAACTAAATCTAAATTATAATATTTGTGCAATTCTGAACTTAACCTTGAACAGTTGAAGTCTGAGTCTGAACCAGATTTGAATATAAAATTATATTTGATTTAAGTTTAGTTCAAAGTTTATAAACTTGGATTTAAATAAGTTTTTTTTTTATTTAAAATTTTTTATTATTTATTTAATTTATTAATATTTTTTTTATTAATCTATATTTATAAATCTAATTTGCTTGTATATCAGATTATGCATAATCTAATACTAATTTAAAAGTTTATCACTGTAGTATATATATAAGATAAAATTATTAATTATAATGATACAAAAATTAAAAATAAGTTTTTTGTTTATATATTTAAAATAATTTGATATAACTAATATAATAATTACAATAATAAAAAAGATGTAACAACTTAGTAAAATGGATAAGTTGTCAACTTTCCAAGTGATAGATTGTAAGTTCAAAACCTACTAATAGCAAAAATTTAGATAATTATTTATATAATTTATAGATCATATTATAGTAATAATATTCTGTTAATCAGTTAAGATAAGATACCTGTAATTACAATCACATTAGCATAATTAGCAGGTCATATAGCATTTATATAATATTAAAGTTATATAGAAAAATACTAACTGATAAACCTAAATTAAGTTCTTGTAGTTATATAAATCTGTAAAACTAAAAAGTTGAAGTTTACTTGAAAAAACCTAGGTAAAAAGATAACACAGATCTTCAATAGTACTAATATAAAACCTAGATCTAGAAAACAGATACTAATGTAAAAAGAATTAGATAAACAAAAACTTTAGATAAAAAGTATTACTAATCAGGTTGCTAGAAGTCTTGAACCAAAGAAAAAAAATGAAGACAAAACTCTAGTATATTAGAGACAGATCACAGTCTTTTTGGACTATCTGAATTAGAAGTTTAAGATTAAAAAATAAGATTATACTATAAGTACTAGGGATATATTATAAAGTTAATACAAAAGTCTAAGTGAACTTTGTAAAAGTAAATCTGTTAACAAGACCCAAATATAGGTAGTTAGTTAGCAAAAGAGTTCTTTAGAGCTCTACAGTTAGATAATATACTCTGAAATATATAATAGCTTAACAGATATACAAATAGGAAAGTTAAATAACATTTAGATATACAAAAACTTGTACACTATCTATTAGATATAGTATAGAAATTAAAGTATTTAATTAGTTAGTTTTCTAGCAGATTACAAGTCTAGCAGTTAGTATAAAATCTACAAACAGACTACTTAAATAAATAGTCTAAACCAATACTTATGAATAATTAAAATAGCTAATTAAAAATATAATATATTGTTATAGAACAATTTATTATTATTTTATTATTATTAGTTATTATTATTATTACTATATTATTATTATTTAGTATTAGTTATTTCATTATTGTATTATTATTATTA